TTTCATGATCCATAATTTTAATATTGTCCCAGTCAAATGTATGTTGTTCGTTTAGAATGTGTTCCGTGACAACCGAATGTCTAGCAGAGTCTAATTTAATATTATTTTTATGTTCTTTAAGTCTCGTTCCTAACTGTCTTTTTGTCTGTCCGACATATGTGGCGTCACAATCGTTGCAATTCAATTTATAAATAACGTTAGAATTCGTGGGGCAATTATTTCTGTCCTTTTGAACTTTTATGAAGTCATTCAATTTTTTAATGCAACGATATCCTACCACTACGTCAGGTCTTCTTATTGCTGAAGCAACTTTCTCAGATATTGATTCTATATATGGTATGACAAAATATTTAATGTTAGTATTAGTATTATTAGTATCTGTTATATTGTTATTATTAGGCTTGTTAAATTTCTTAGTTGAGAGATTTTTTAATCTGCGTTTTATTTCTGTGAAAATTAGATCAAGAGGATAACCGTTGGATAGCAAAATGTTAATAGCTTTCTCTATCAGGGAAAACAATACAAGATTCCGACATAATAGTTTCATTGGACGTTGTTTCATTATTTACTAATGTTTCCGTAGATCTTGCATTAAACGGTATCAATAATAGATGGCATTTTATAGAGTCACACACAAAGATTCCCAAAAATGAATTCATAGGTATGATAAAATTTATATTAACTTCTACATGAAATAACATAACATAAACAAATTTATGGGACTCCTATGGGTTCCCCACTTTCTCCGATCATTGCCGATATAGTCATGCAGGACTTGGAAACATTGGTAATTAGTAATTTAAATTGCGAAATGACTTTATTTCCGTTATGTAGACGACATTATTTTATGCACTTCCGCTGACAATATTACATATGTTTTAATGAATTCAACAATTATAACGATAGACTACAATATACATTGGAAAAAATATAAGATTGGTGTATAAGTTTTTAGACATTGTTCATTTATTTAATAAAATTTTTAGATTGGTATCACAAACGATTATCAATAATTAGATTCATTTTTTATCACACCAAAATTCCAAAAAAATATAGGTAGAAAGCTAAATTTTATATCCACGGTTTCCTTTCAATAACAGAAATAAAACAAATTTAAAAATCCTAAGGTTATCCTAATTTTTCAATATAACAGATATAATAATACTAGACTAAAAATATTTTGTCAATATATAATTAAATTGCGAAATAACTTTATTCCGTTATGTAGACCATTAATTTTATGACTTATATAGACAATATTACATAGTTTTAAAAGAATTCAACGATTATAACGATAGACTACAATACAGTGGAAAAGAAATAATTGTATTAAGCTTTTTAGACAATGATCAATATGTAACAGATAATAAAATTTATTAGATTGAATCACAAAAATAACATTATTATTAGATTGTTTAGGATTCAGAAAAATTTACCGCGCTCGATCGAATTAAAATTCAGAACAATCGAGAATTTAAGTGAAAGCAATTGCCGCGGGCCTAACACTGCAGCACCTGCGGAACGCACCGCGGAAAAAACCGCGGAAGCAAATTTTCGGCCAATTAGCGCGTTTGACGTGTAACCCCTTGCGATCAGGCGGTCGATAATAATTGATGAGGGTAGCATTCTCGGGACAGTCGTCGCGGAGAGAGAGCCGGCGTTGGTCGCAAGTCAGACCAAAGAATTCGCGTTACGGTGTAATAAGTGCGTGAATGTATTATCGCGATTAATACGAACAGATTTGCGCGGTATTGTTGACATATCGAGAGTGAATATTTAACGGGTAATCGGATTCGTTCGCGACGCAACATACACGTTCTCGCGACGAATTCGCCATTTCTTTTGCATGCTACGTGTAGTGATCGAACATTTACGATTATTCGATCCTGTAAGGATTTAATGCGATTATTCGCTATTAATAAAAAATTTCGTGCATCTCTCTATTTCTCGTTCTCTCTCTCTCTCTCTCTTTCTCTCTCTCTCTGTTCTCTCTCTGCGCTCTCTCACAATTGTAGTACGCCGTCGCGACGAACTCGCCGTCGTATTGTGCACGCTGCGTACACGTGATCGACTCCTGCGAATATTCGAATCCTTCTGGAGGATTCTGTGTGATAGTTAATTGCATATAAATGCACGTGATCGAACATTACGAATATTCGGATCCTGCTGGAGGATTGAATGTCACATAATTGAAGACAATTATTAAGTCGCGTCAAATCATATGTGCGCGTGTTCGATAAATTATAACGGTCGTCCACAAGAGGACAAATTTGTTGTTGTACGATTCGCGATCGTGACTTTCAAATAAGACATTGTTTTCTCTTGCGACAAAAAACATTGGTGTCGATATCGAACAAACAGTTTTTTCTTTTGTGATCGCGAGCTTCGAAACGTGTACAGCAAACGCTTTCGATTCTCATATCGAGTTTTTGTTCTTTTTTTCTTTGATTTGTTTGTGTCAAGTCCAGGTGACTTTCTGACATGTGAAATAATAAATTGATCTGTTTTTGTTCATCAACTTCAAGACTTCTTTTCAATTCGGCTTCCTACGTAAATCATCAATCTCAGCGCACACATGGGTGCGCGATCACCCTATTAAGATACAGTCCACTCAACAATTATCCTATTGTCCATCCATCACATCTCTCATGAGATTCCTATGATTTCTTTCCAATAAAAAAAAAAAAACGGGTGAAGGATTTGAGAGGCGGCGCGCGAGACGCGGCCCTAAAAAGGCCGAGCATGCTCGTTCGCCGCAGCTTCGCGTCGGACCACGGTTCAAGCCGCGCGTTCGCAACATTTGGTCCTTCGAGCCGGATTTGAGATTGGTGACGAATTGAAAAGTGAAAAACTCAAGTAAAAAACACAGTGACATTGCAAGTACATTCAAAATCGGACATCATCAAACGCTATCAGTGCATTCAAAGAGAGTGACAGCTCGGTTCGTAAAAGACTAATTTGATTAAATTCAGTGTCGTTGAAACCTCAGTTGATTAAATTCAGTGTCAAAATGGAAGAAGCTCTCGCAAATCAACAAACTGCTTGCTATTCAGTTGCTCGAGCTCTCGACAATTTTAAGAAGATCGGTCGGTCAAATCTGACGGCCGCCAAAATTCGCTCGCGAATGACGAGCTTACAAGACACGTGGACACAATGTGTACGCAATCACGCGACACTGCTGCAGCTTGTTCCTGACGAGAAGCAAGTTTCAATTCACTACTTCAAAAAGGAGACCTTCGCCTTCCACGAGGACCTCTATCAGGCAGCTATGGACTACATGAACGAGTGCTTGGAGGAGCTGGTTCCAGTCGTAAGTCGTGAAACCTCTTTCAACGCTTCGTTCGCGCATACAGACTCTGCGTCATTATCGGTCAAACATCTTCCTCCCATCAAATTGCCGCCGTTCACCGGTAAGATTGAGGAGTGGGAGACTTTTCGCGATCGGTTTCAATCGCTTATTATAGACAATCGCGAATTATCGAACTTCAGTCGCATGCATTTTTTAGTGTCAAGTTTAACAGGCTCAGCTCGCGATGCGATATCAGGTATTAAAGTCACCGCGGATAACTTCTCGGTTGCGTGGAAAGCATTAACAGCGCGTTTTGAAAATAAGCGCCGATTAATTGAGACTCACATTTCGAATTTGTATAATCTTCCGAAAATGACTCGTGAGTCAGCTGTCGAGCTTCACGCCTTACGCGATAAAGCCGAACAAGCGATCTCAACATTGCAACGTCTTAATCGTTCGCCGGACGATATAGTCAGCGACATGTTAGTTTATTTTCTCTCTCAGAAGTTCGATCCCGCCACGCGCCGTGCGTGGAAGTTAAAAACGAGCGATATCGAAAATCCGCCAACATACAAAGAAGTATTAAAATTTATTTCGTCGCGTGCTCTCGCGTTAGAGGAACTTCACCCTCGCGATAACGACAAGACCAAGTCACATGCGAAAGTGACTAGCGCAACAGCGACTGCGTCATCTAATATAGTGTGTTCAATGTGCAAGCAATCGCACATTCTCTCAAAATGTCCGCAATTTGTAGCAAAGAGTCCGATTCAGCGACGCGAATTGGTTAAGAAATTTCGACGATGTTTTAATTGTTTGAGTGATAAACACATGTCGATCAATTGTCAAAGTAATTTCACATGTCGAACATGTAATAAACGACATCATTCTATGATTCATCTCGATTCGGACTCATTGCAACAAGTTACAAATGCGAACAATACGTCAAACGCGAATGACGTCATCGACAACGTGCCTAACGTTACGGCACTCTCATCAGTTACAATGACAACTGCGCCGACTCCTGTTGTCTTATCTACTGCAAAGGTGAATTTGCAGGCGCCTTCTGGACGCTCATTGGTTGTCAGAGCCTTGATTGACGGTGGATCAGAGCTCACGTTTGTGACGGAGCGCGTTGCTCAAATATTACGTCTCAAGCGTATACGAACGCTTACTTCAACGTCGGGAATAAGCTGCGCTGACACCGGTACATGCCGATCTGCGGCTCTGATTCACATCACTCCTCGCAAAAAATCGAAACCAAGGTTCACAACGGTTGCCTATATTATGAAGGCATTAACGAGGTATGCTCCCAGAAACGCTTCGCAATCGCAAGATTGGAAACATATTTCCAATCTGGAATTGGCTGACGATGATCCTACCGGATCAACACCGATTGATCTCATAATAGGATCCGATTTATATAATCACGTACTCGTTCACGTACGTAACGGACCGCTCGGTCAACCAGGTGCAATTGAATCGCATTTCGGATGGATCCTATCCGGAACAACCTCTATCCCGAATCACGTGACACAACCCTCTCATGTGGTAACTTCAACTCTCGTAATTCCGCCTGTTGAGGATGCGAGTCGCGTCGTGCAATCAGCTCAGTTAAATCAACGTTACAGTGTTGTCGCTCATTGTTGTTCTCTCTCTCGAAAATCAATTGTCTAAATTCTGGGAGGCAGAAGAAACACCTCAATCAATTGAAATGTCCCCAGATGACGAACAATGCGAAGAACATTTCAAACAAACGCATTCGAGAACATCGGATGGGAGATATATCGTGCGTCTGCCGTTTCGAAACGGCCCACCCATCGAAATCGGTGAATCTCGCGAAATAGCCGCGCGTCGGCTTTCGTCGTTACTTCGGAGAATTAATAATCAACCTGCGATTAAGCAGGAGTATGCTGAATTCATGAGCGAATACGCACAGTTGAATCATATGAAAGTAATCGCACCGGTGGATTCAGTAAATTCACAAGTCGTGTACATCCCTCATCATCCGGTCATTCGAGAGACTAGTTCGACAACTCGGTTGAGAGTCGTATTTGACGCCTCATGCACAACCTCTAACGGTACCTCGCTCAATTCTCACATGTTTACTGGGCCTAAACTACAGTTAGATCTGCAATCGGTTTTATTACGTTGGCGACAGCACAAATACGTTTACTCCGCAGACATAGCGAAAATGTATAGACAAATATTGGTCGACTCGCGAGATAGAGATTATCAACGCATCCTATGGATAGATGAAAATTCGAATATTCAAGAACATCAACTCCTTACGGTAACATACGGTACGGCTTCCGCACCGTTTTTAGCTCTTCGAGTCATTAATCAGTTAAACGATGATGAAGGAAGCTCGTTTCCACTAGCATCTGCGGTTTTAAGCGAGAACGTCTATGTGGACGACGTGCTGTTTGGGGCCGAAGATATGCCTCTCCTTAAACAGACTCGAGATCAAGTTTGCAAATTGTTGAAACGCGGTGGATTCGATCTTCGCAAATGGGCGAGTAACAAACCGGAGTTGCTCTCAGATATTTCATCGGATCATCACGGGCTCGCACAGCTTAAATTATTCGAGACTGACAACAATCTGAAGGTTCTCGGTATTTTTTGGAATCCGACGCACGATTGTTTCCAGTTTCAAATTGAATTACCACAGACTCTCCCTTCTACAAAACGAACGATTCTCTCTACCATAGCCAGAATATTCGATCCACTTGGATGGGTCACACCCGTGGTTCTCAAAGCGAAAGTTTTTATGCAGAAATTATGGCGACACAAAGTAGGCTGGGACGACAATCTCTCAGAAGATCTCCTTTTACAATGGAGCGTGATTTATAAATCACTTCCTTACATCAAAAGCATAAAACTTAGTCGCTGGATTGGATGCGATTCAGATACCAAGAGCATCGAGTTACACGGTTTCGCGGATGCTTCCCAAGTAGCTTACGCCGCAGTAGTTTTTTTGAGAGTCACAACATTATCCGGTCATACAACTGTTTCGCTCCTCGCTGGGCGATCCAAAGTCGCGCCTATCAAACCGCTGACAATCCCTCGATTAGAATTGTCAGCTGCGGTCTTATTAGCGCGCCTAATTGAATTCATCAGAAAATCTCTTCATTTCACGAAAATGCCAGTCCATTGTTGGACAGATTCGAGTATTGTGCTTGCTTGGTTAAACAAGCACCCATCTCATTGGAAAACTTTCGTCTCGCATCGCGTAACAGAGATTCAAACACGAGTATCTGATGGCATTTGGCATCATGTCAGTACACATGAAAATCCCGCTGACTGTGCATCTCGCGGTTTACTCGGCACAGAATTAAGCGCCTTCGACATTTGGTGGCGCGGACCTTCATGGTTGAGTCTTAAACAGGATGATTGGCCCACATTCACAATAACGCCGATAGACGAAACACAGTTAGAAGAAAAACCGTGTCAAGTGCATCAAGTGAACGCTAATGAACCGTGGAATCTCACTACTCGATATTCATGGTGGCCAAAATTAATACGTATTACCGCCTACATTTACCGTTTCATAAGGAAGTGTAGAAAGAAACACACAATAGGATCGAACAACAAGTCTCAATATCACGCTCTTACTACAGTTGAATTCAACGAAGCACGAAACTTCTGGCTGAACTTCATTCAGTTAGAACTATTCGAAAACGAGCTCCATAATTTAAAGTCAAACAAACCGTTGCCTACTCACAGTCCAATTCTCTCATTAAATCCGTTCCTGGATTCTGACGGTCTAATTCGCGTTGGGGGGCGATTAGAACACTCGTCATTATCTTTCCAGTCCAAGCATCCAATCTTATTAGCCAACCATACGATCACTACCATGATCATCCGTTATACGCATGTTGTATCTCTCCATGCCGGTCTTCAATCCACTCTTTCAAAACTTAGACAAGAGTTTTGGATTTTGAGAGCAAGAAGTCTAGTAAAGTCGGTTATTTATAAATGTGTTCCGTGTACAAGAGAAAAGGCTCAAGTAGCTAGTCAGCTGATGGGCCAGCTACCTACAAGTCGTGTTTCGGCGCCCTCTCGAGCGTTTCTACATAGCGGTGTCGACTACGCCGGACCAGTCTTCACACGTGCTTCAGCCGGCCGAGGAATTACCTCGCGAAAGGCCTACATAGCACTCTTTATTTGTTTAGCCACACGCGCTATTCATCTCGAACTGGTTAGTGATTACTCGACTGCTGCCTTTCTTAACGCTTTTCAAAGATTTTGTGCGCGACGTGGATTACCAGAGGTCATGTACTCGGACAATGGTACTACGTTCGCAGGAGCAGACAAGGAGTTGTCGCAAGCGTATCGAGACGCTCAAAGCGATGTTAACTTTCTCAACTTCATCGTGTCAGATAACATCACATGGAGTTTTATCCCTCCCCATGCTCCACACTTCGGTGGATTGTGGGAGGCAGGGGTCAAAAGCGTTAAATACCACCTTCGTAGGATATTAGGAAATCACACCCTCACTTTCGAGGAACTTACTACCGTGCTTTGTAAAGTTGAAGCATGCTTAAATTCAAGGCCCCTGTGTCCATTGACTGATTCGATTGACGATTTTGAAGTGCTCACTCCGGGTCACTTTTTGATTGGATCGGCAATCACAATCAATCCAGAACCTTCTGTTCTGCAAATCAATGAAAACAGACTGTCACGGTGGCAGTTGTTGCGACAGATCACGGAGCGTTTTTGGAAGCATTGGCACGCCGACTATATTAACACGCTTCAACAGCGAACTAAGTGGCGAAAGGCAAAGTCACTTATCCATATCGGTTCCATGGTTCTGATTCAAAATCCTCTTCTTCCTCCTTGCAAATGGGAACTCGGACGCGTAATCCACTGTCAACCAGGCTCTGACGGATTAATTCGAGTAGTTTCCGTCAAAACAGCGAACTCGGAATATAAGCGTCCCATAACTAAGTTATGTGTGCTTCCAATCGACGTTGATTCTGACGATTCCATCGAGGATCAACCTCGAGTGTCAAGCAATTAGCGATAATTCTAGTGTAAGTTAATTATACGATTCTAATTCTAATTACGTTATAATTTATGTAGCAAGTAAGTCAAGTTTATGTTCATTAGTTAAGTCAAAGCGTGCAAGTAAAGTCGCCAAGGCGGGCGGCGCTTGCAATCCTAAGTTTAAGGTCGTGCGAATTAGTACGAACAGCGGATACTGTTGTTTACGCGATCTGCGTTAAATGTTAAAATCCGTCCGCGATAACAACAGTGATCTTTAGAAGTCAACTTTAAGTCAATATTGTCAGCCGTTTCAGGTCTACAATTTCACTTTAGTGCGATCTGAGCGTAATCAGAAGTTACATCTCAGTATCTTATATATTGCATGGGATCAATCGTGACGAACAATCACACGCAATTAGTTTTCATTTAGCAAACCTCACTCACACGGGAGTGAACGATGCATCCTTGTGTAAGGTATACCGCGAGATCGAGTAGTTTCGAAATTCAAATTTCGAGGCGGGCGGTATGTTTAGGATTGAGAAAAATTTGCCGCGCTCGATCGAACGAAAATTCACGGATCAGTCGAGAATTTAAGTGAAAGCAATTGCCGCGGGCCTAACACGGCAGCACCTCGCGGCACGCACCGCGGGAAGCGCCGCGGAAGCAAATTTTCGGCCAATTAGCGCGTTCCGCGTGTACCCCTCGCGATCAGGCGGTCGATAGCGTGATCGATGAGGGTAGCATTCCGTCGGAGACAGTCGTCGCGGAGAGAGAGCCGGCGTTGGTCGCAAGTCAGACCAAAGAATTCGCGTTACGGTGTAATAAGTGCGTGAATGTATTATCGCGACAAATACGAACAGATTTGCGCGGTATTGTGTGACATATCGAGAGTGAAGAGTTAACGGGTAATCGGATCTCGTTCGCGACGCAACATACACGTTCTCGCGACGAATTCGCCATTGTCTCGTGCATGCTACGTGCACGTGATCGAACATTACGAGTATTCGGATCCTGCTGGAGGATTCACTGCGATATTCGCGTATCGGTGAATGCATGTCGTGCATTCTCTCTCTCTCTCTCTCTCTCTCTCTCTCTCTCTCTCTCTCTCTCTCTCTCTCGCTCTCTCTCACAATTGTCGTAGTACGCCGTCGCGACGAACTCGCCGTCGTATTGTGCACGCTGCGTACACGTGATCGACTCCTGCGAATATTCGAATCCTTCTGGAGGATTCTGTGTGATAGTTAATTGCATATAAATGCACGTGATCGAACATTACGAATATTCGGATCCTGCTGGAGGATTGAATGTCACATAATTGAAGACAATTATTAAGTCGCGTCAAATCATATGTGCGCGTGTTCGATAAATTATAACGGTCGTCCACAAGAGGACAAATTTGTTGTTGTACGATTCGCGATCGTGACTTTCAAATAAGACATTGTTTTCTCTTGCGACAAAAAACATTGGTGTCGATATCGAACAAACAGTTTTTTCTTTTGTGATCGCGAGCTTCGAAACGTGTACAGCAAACGCTTTCGATTCTCATATCGAGTTTTTGTTCTTTTTTTCTTTGATTTGTTTGTGTCAAGTCCAGGTGACTTTCTGACATGTGAAATAATAAATTGATCTGTTTTGTTCATCAACTTCAAGACTTCTTTTCAATTCGGCTTCCTACGTAAATCATCAATCTCAGCGCACACATGGGTGCGCGATCACCCTATTAAGATACAGTCCACTCAACAATTATCCTATTGTCCATCCATCACATCTCTCATGAGATTCCTATGATTTCTTTCCAATAAAAAAAAAAAAAAAACGGGTGAAGGATTTGAGAGGCGGCGCGCGAGACGCGGCCCTAAAAAGGCCGAGCATGCTCGTTCGTCGCAGCTTCGCGTCGGACCACGGTTCAAGCCGCGCGTTCGCAACAAGATTACTTTCATTTTTTTCAAATCATCCGACTTGTCATAAAATAGGAACAATTTATAACTTGGTAGATAGAGCTTTATTACTATCCATCCGCAATTTTACAAAAAAATATAGAGAAAGCTATTAACATTTTGCTATCCAACGGTTATCCTCTTGATCTAATTTTCACAGAAATAAAACGCAGATTAAAAATCTCTCAACTAAGAAATTTAACAAGCCTAATAATAACAATATAACAGATATTAATAATACTAATACTAACATTAAATATTTTGTCATACCATATATAGAATCAATATCTGAGAAAGTTGCTTCAGCAATAAGAAGACCTGACGTAGTGGTAGGATATCGTTGCATTAAAAAATTGAATGACTTCATAAAAGTTCAAAAGGACAGAAATAATTGCCCCACGAATTCTAACGTTATTTATAAATTGAATTGCAACGATTGTGACGCCACATATGTCGGACAGACAAAAAGACAGTTAGGAACGAGACTTAAAGAACATAAAAATAATATTAAATTAGACTCTGCTAGACATTCGGTTGTCACGGAACACATTCTAAACGAACAACATACATTTGACTGGGACAATATTAAAATTATGGATCATGAAAAGAATTACCATAAAAGACTAATATCTGAAATGATCCACATTAAAGAACAGAAAAATGGAATTAATTTAAATAAAGACACCGAATTGTTAGACAGTAGTTATTTTGACATACTTAAAAAATTTGCTGAATCATAATTTAGAAAAAACATTGGTAATAAATAAATACATCACGCTCTCTATTTTGACATTTGTTATTCAGACTTCGCAACACACACTTGAAATATCGGGAAAAAGGACTTGTTAAAACGATAATGTAAGTTGAAAGATTTTTTAATTTTCTCTGACATTGATTTAATTCGCGTATTATATCCGCAGCATGTTTAAATGTCGCATAACTTGGCATCTCAGACCAATCGCCTTGCATATCTATTGGTCAACAGCGAAGAATCGTTTTAATTTTATATTTTAATATTTAACTAACTTTGTATTTTTAACATTTAACTTTGTATTTTAATATTTAACTTTTATGTATTGATAAAGACTGTAGTGCAGTCGAAACGTTTACAATTTATATCGATTCTGTAACGGAATGTTAATTTAATTATTTAACTATTAATAAAAAATTTTTACATCTTATTTATTTGCTCGTTCAGTTGGCCTACTATATTTGATTTGTTCAATTTTGTTAACATATCAAAGCATTGTTTTGAAAACTATTATATTTGATATTATTAGGCGATTTTTTGCGACTGTTTGGTACATGTACCAATGTGTACCAGAATGTTTTCGTGTGTTTGGTAATTTGTGATAGAGGCGTGGCCAATCATTTTGGTATGTATCTGGTTGGTACCACGTTATATCCAGCAATAAAGCAGGGTACATGTTGTTAGTTTTCTGAGTTGCAAATAGGCGCCAAATATAAAGACACAGGTAATAAACAATGCATTTTACATTTATTCGTGTTAAATCTATTGAGCTAAATATTTCAAACAGAAGATCGAGCTTATAAAGTAGAAACTAAAAATGTCAATTTTTTTGGACACTTTTAAATAATTTCTACGCTTATAGGTTAAGCACTGATTGAAATAGAGAGCTACAAAACAAATAAAATTTCTTTATTATTTAAAACTTGAATTATATTTAATTCATTATTTATCAATTATAGATACTATAGATAGTATGAATAAAAGCAGCCTTTTAGTATGTGCTGACACGAGTGGGCAACCGATTTTGGATGAACATGGAAAATTAATATATTTTTGTCCTAAAAGTATGTAAAAATTATATACAGATAGATGTATTTTTTATTTATTTACTTTAAATATGAAATTAAGACTTATATCTAATTAAATATTACAGCAAATGCTTTAATCTTGGAAGCTCAATCGTTATGTAAAGCACCTATGTCTGAAAACAACAGTACATAAGACTTTAAACATCTTTTAAATTTCAAAACGTATACAGACAATACAAATGTTTAAAAAACATCATGAAATATCTAAACAACTTATATTTTTTTGATTTTTTATTGTTTAATATAAGTCTATATGTTTTTAATGATCTCATACATAATCATTTTATTAATTATATTTTAAAACAAATTGCAATAATAATTAAAAAATAATTTTATATAAATTATTATATATCATTTAAATATATTTTGTGTTACAGATACAACAGAAAACAATATTACAAATAAAGAATGCACAAACGAAGAAATTAAAGAAAAAGGTTAGAAATGACAAATAAAGATAGTAAGCACCTTTATAATACATACATGTATATACAATAATACAATTAAATAATAATAATAATAATAATAATGTTTTAATACTTGTAGAATTTACTAATGAAATGACATTAAAGTTATTAGAGATTGTTGAAACTAAATTTCACCATCTTAATAATTAAATGCATACAAAAAATATGATTTGATATTGCAAGAGAAATGCAAAATAATGGTTATTTAATTCATTATATTGGAACAAAAGCTTCTGACAAATGTCATCAACGTTGGCGTAACTTAGAAAAAATGTATCGTAGACATTGCCAATACATGAAATCTACTGGAACAGGGAAGAAAAAGCCTCCAAAATATTTTGATGAGATGCATGACCTTATCAGAGAGAAACACAACAGTCAACCAGTTAATTTACTGAATTCCCTAGATAATTTTAGTACAACTTCTGATACTTGTAGTAGTAAAATAAGCGAAGTTACAAATAACAATGAAAACTTTCCCAATACAGAAGATATTGCACTAGAAAATAACGTGTCAACGAAGAATACGTCAAAGAAAGAAAAAGATAATTTAAAAATTTTAAATATTTTTGAAAATGTTAAAAAAACAGTAAGACCAAAGAAAGATAATTTAAGCATTGTTTTGAAAGAGTTACACGAACAAGATACACAAATTGAAAATCAACGCTTCGAAAAGTTTCAGAGATCATTTTGCTAAAAGAGCAAAATGGATTAAAAAAAAAAAAAACATTAGAACAAGGTAAAGAATGCATAAAGATTATGAAAAGTCTTATTAATTTAGAAGCACACAA